GCGCGTGCGTTTGTGTGTACGAGTGAATGACTCAAGATCCCATTTCAGCTTTGACTTCAGTGTATCTCTCTTTTCTCTTTCTTCATACATTGTGTTTGCTTTTAGCATCCCCATAGAAAACTTTTGTTTTCAACAAGCACATAATTTTTTAAAAAATTGAAGTAATTCAACAAACAAAAAAAATCCTATAGGGATGCATGTTCAGATAGAAATTTCGAGACCTCAAAACAGTCATAAATAATCAAAAGACAACACTTCCCGAGTCCGTATTCATAGACACACAGAGAGCCCATAAAAGCATGCCAACAGGCGCATGCTACACAAATGACTACAGGAGAACAAAGGACAATTTCTGTAACTTAAACCACTTGTGAAAACAAGGATCGATATCTCATCCTGAATTCTGTTCCCGTAACTATCAATTATGCCCTCACTCACACATCTCGTTGGCTATTCGATACCAGTTTTCGCGTACGGCAGACATTTGCTCACATCTGAACATTTCACGAGCGGCAATTAAACTGTGATGAAAAGAGCGGTCACAACACAGACAAAGCAATTACATTATTTCTCGCCCTCTGTCAAAATGCATTATATCATTATCATGCCCACAAAGTGATCTTGACGCCCAACAGTGTGAGCAAATCAGAAAGAAATCTGGCACTGTTTTTGAGGGAAGGCTCCTGTTACATCGTTTGTTTGTCTTCACACCTCGTTTTCATTCTTCTGTTTAAAGTTTTGAATTTGCCATCCACAGGTTTTCACTTTTTTGTTTGTTGCTGGATTACGAAAGGTCTGTGCTTTCGCAAAACAAAAGCGAATGTTTCTATCTTTCTAACTTTCACTTCTTCTAACGCTGAATCTCGCTGTGCAAAACTGGCATTAACTCAGGGAACTGTGGATAGAGTGATAACTGCAACAATAATTTGTTGGGCATGGGGTGGGAGGCAATGCATGGGTGTAATCCTTGCTTTTATACATAAATCTAAACCACACTCATGTCAATATCAATTATTTACGACACATTTATTAAAAAACAAAAGTGTGTAATTAATAATAATGCTTACTCTCCAAAGTGCTACAAGCAGGAAGGAGATACTCCCTTCCCCCCCTCGCCCCCTTTTTCGGTCACGTCCCAATCTTTCTCCTTCCTTGGAATCTTTTAAAAACTCTCATCCGAGGCGAAATCCTCCCTTCTCCCTTAATCGCCTAAACGATTGTCAAACTAGTCATTTGCTGCGCTCTTTTATTTAATCTCCCTCACAGGGGCCAATCAATGATCGCTGAAGATATCCAAACAGCGCACGGCGGCTCTGCAATAATAGACTAACACAATCATATTAGTTTTGTTTCTCGCTTGCCTGCCAGAGCAAATTGTCCTCACAACGAGGTGCTCAGTTACCAGAGTCCAAACCCAGACAAGCACACTTAAACACAAGCTGTATCGATGTCCGTTGCTGGGAGCACAGATCAGATGGTTGGCGATGAGCCGTTTCCCATCGATAACCGGACCTGAATATTTCATTAACGTAGCGCGTCTCAACACAAGAAGAGAACGAATAGAAGATCGAGAAGGAGTACGTGGAGGAAGAAGAGGAGGATTAACGGGCCTGGGTGGTTCAGTGAAACGCAGGGGGAGAGTTTTATCTTCAACTTCACATCCCCCCCCCCACTCTCCTCCTTCTTCGTTCTCTTTTTTCTTTTCTTCCTTATTATTTTTTTATGTGTCACCCCCCCCCTCTCTCTCTCTCTCATACTCTCTCTTACTCCCTCTGTCTCTCTATCTGTCTCTTTATCTGTCTCTCTCTCTGTCTGTCTGTCTGTCTGTCTGTCTCTCTCTCTTTCTCTCTCTCTCTCTCCCTCCCTCTCTCTCTCTCCTCCCTCAATTTAATTCCCCTTCTCCCTCCTCTATCTTTCTTTTCTGTCTCTTCTGGTCTCTCTCCATCTCTTTCTCTTCTCTTTCTTCTCTGCCTTCTCTCCTCGCCCTTCTCTCCTCTACCTCTCCCCCCTCTCCCCTCCCTCCCTTCACTCTCTTGCTCTCTCTCTCTCTCTCTCTCTCTCTCTCTGTGTCTCTCTCTCTCCCTTCTCTCTCTCTCTCTCTCTCTCTCTCTCTCTCTCTCTCTCTCTCTCTCTCTCTCACTCTCAATCTAACATGTGAAGTTTGAGGAACAGGGAGGAAGCTAAAATTATGCACATAATATATTTTTTTTAAAACTTTATTTTCAACTAATAAGAGTACAACTGTACATTGCAGAGACAAGAAGAAGAAGTTGTGAATAATATTAGGTGTGTGCGCGTAAGGGGCTTTCGATTCGCCTTGACCTTTTTAATTTCAAAGTGGAGATCATGTTTCAAAAGAGAAACGGATTCTAAATTATTATTGCACATGGTACAAGTATTATGAAACGTGTTTCAATTTAAACTAAATTTTAAAACAATTTAGATCTATTTAAATTTATTAAAAATAAGATAGGACAAGACAAGACAAGACAAGATAGGATAAGATAAAATAAGATAAAATGATAAAATAAGATAGGATAAGATAAGATACATCTTTATTGTCCAGATCCTGGCATATTGCTTTGGAGTTTCACCACGTACACACACTCACACACATACTCTCATACACACACATAAAAACAAACACAGAAACATGTACACACACGCATACGCACACACATGTGCCCACACATATACACACACTCTCTCTCCCATATCCTCTCTTCCACACACATGTCTGCATATAACAATAATAATACACTAAATTAATAGTACGCTTCCACTCAAAAACAAGCTCACAGTCATAATATGTATAACGTAAATGAACAGTAATGATAAACATTAATTGTGTCAAATTAGATATGTACTCAGTATTCTGATTGTCCATCAATTGTATTCTGATGCATGCAGCTATAGTTGAATCGTCTGTAAAGTTGATCAAATTGGTGTTACTGTTGTTTATTTGTCAATCGTTTGTGCTCAGTGTAAACGAAACTGGCGACAAAACACTTCCTTGAGGGGCCCCTGTTTTTGTTATGATGTGTGTCGATGAGGAATAATATTTCAATTGTATACACTGGGCTTGGTTGGTCAGAAAATTCCCTATCTACAATTGACGTTGACACCTATGTTTTCAAATTTCTTTAAAAAGATAGATAGCTGGATAGTATTAAAGGCTGAAGAAAAATCAACAAATAGGATCTTACAGTACGTTTTTTTGTTTGTTTGTTTACAAAAAATACAACATAGCAGAATGGTGAAATAGTAGAATGGCGAAATAAATACACGAAATACGGTTACGTAAAAATCATAATCCTATTTTTTTTTTTTT